GGTGGGCGTGTGCTTAACTGCTTTCAAGTACAATAGGCCTTTGTTTGAGGGGGTGTGTTTTAGAATAAATGCGTATTCAGGTATTGATTTCATACTTCATCCAACAGTTTAAGTTTTTAGGTTGAATTATTCTTAAAGTCTGTTTGACCAAGCGAATTTGTATTGAATCCTTGTCATGCCATATATATAATTAATTAAATTTCAGCTCAAGATATAAGTGAAGTTACTTGTATATACTTCAAATTAAACCCAATAATATATCACATGATGGGCATGGATAACTATCTATTTAGTAACCTCAGACCTCATCTAGCATCCTAAGCTTTTAAGATTGAACATTTTCATTATAGGAAGATATATAGTCTTTTTTAAAAGATCTTTTAGAAGATTTGACAGCAAAAAAAGGGTGTGARACTTTGCATAAAAATCTTAGCAGCCCACTAACTGTTTGGTGGAGGTGAGTCTTTACGTGCATCTTTTCACATGAAGACGAGACAAAAAAAAAAAAAAGTGAAACTCCATTTGAAATTTCATGAAAATAGCCCGAAACAGGTTTTTCGCATCTTTTTGAGGCTACATCTTTTGACAGCTAAATCTTTTCTCAATCAAACGAAAAAAAAAAATAAATTAAAATATAGGCTGCCAGATTTCTAAAAAACTGACAGTCCATACAAAAAGACATGCCAAACGGGACCACAAATAACTGCATAAATAAACTTGTATGGAAGACCAATTTTGAGACCACAAGATAAGAAAACTTATCATTAAAAAGAAACTGAAGATCCAGTAGACAAAGCAAAGACAGATTATAGCAATTAAATTATAAATGATACAAAGCCAAAATGGTGCAAGGATGGATATAGGAAGTTAAACATGATGRGTGATTACTATAATATCTTTATAACAAGCCCTTGATCAGAAAACTTTACATGAATTTAGCACAATCACTGGTACAGTATTTGATCACAAGAAGGTAACAATCAGGGCATATCTCCTTATTGATAAACTAGGTAGAATCCCATTGTGAAGTACCAATGGAAGCTCTCATACTCRTGACAAAGGACAACGCCAAAATTGTTTGACGGATTGTAAATGTTTTTCATTCTCTTGAGGAAGGTAACAAAGTTGCATATACTTTTATAAATTTATTATTTTGCATTTAAAGAAGAAATAAGGATTTTCAATCCTTTGAAGGAGTTACACTTACCTATYGGATGATGGCTCCAGAAATCCTTTCTTACTCACTAAATAAATATGTTGTTCCGTTAGGCTGCATTTGGAAGCCATGTAAATCAAGAACCGATGTAAACTTACATAAGTTCAGTTTTGTAGGCATGTGGAAGGAGCGTGTAATTATGAACGATGTAAAACTCCACTCCAATTCAGTTTTGTGTGTGTTTGGATGGAGTGGAGTTTTACATCGTAAGTCGATGTAAAACCTCATCAAGCTTGAAGTTTTACATCAATAATCAATGTAAATACTACATCGATTTTATCGATATAAAACTTTACACTTTTTATCATGATTTTCAAAATGTAACGGTCACCTATTATATGATTTAGTGTAAAGCATCATCAGTGTATTTTTTCATATATTCATCTATTACATTGGACCCAAACGAAGCCTTAGGATTAAAGAGAACATTGGATCCTCTTGTATTTTTCATATATTTACTTTGATGATCCATTTGTAACAAGCTTTTTTAGATTGGTAAGGTTTTTATGTTCTCCCAAATCTCCAATAGGTTATATTTTTCAATCATTAAAAGAATTTACGGTGGCCGCCTATCTTCCACGAATAAATTTTAAGGATGAAAAAGATACTAAAAAAGTATTTCTTTAAAAAGATGAAAGCAACCTCATTTATTTATCTAATCTCCATGATAGGAGCATCTTTTGTCTTTTCAACAAGGATATCCCTGGTTCATGAAAAAATTAAAAAAAAAAAAAAATAGTTAATGACCATCCCATGCAGAGAAGATGGGAGAACTTTAACCACATATTTAGTTTGAGACCCACTATCAATCTGGTAATACATTCTTCCTCAGATTTTTAGAGACTGAATCAGGTTTTATTTATAACTAACAATCAATTTTATCAAAAACAATGGGACAGTACCAATGTAATGAATTCAAAGCTTTTCTGCCAATTTTTTTATTTGAGTTAGAAAACTAAATTTAGACTTAATTTGTTACTGGCAGATATGATCATATGAGATAACTTTTTAATGTGAAAATTTATTTATCTCTTTTCTTGAGTAGGAGGCTGGCCGCATGTTTGAATAAAAGCTCTCTTTCCTGAGGGCTTTGGGTTGTTCCCAAATCAACACCCTCACAAAAAACTGAATTTGTTCTTCAAATAAGATATGTTAGGGAAGTATCATAAGGTCTCTCTTGAAGTGGGACTATGTAATAAATAATCAATCAATCTCCTTCAAAAAAAGTTTCATCCTCCAAACACATGATTGGTTGTTTTCTTACATCATAACACCACATATGGAAGATGAAAAGACCCTTGATCTTATCCATCACATGTTAAAGGTTGAGCCTTTTTCCTTTATTTTTTCCTTTATTTTTTTTTTCGTGAGGAGGCTAACCTAACACCCATATGAAAGGTTAAAGCTATGAAGATTTATATTCATAAAAAAAGAAAAAATCTTCCCATAAAAAGTGCTATTGTTACAACCAGGCACATGTGATCAACAAGATAAAACAGAACTTGACTGCAGATGGTACATAGAAATCAATGTCCTTTAGTCGTCCCACTGACACCTCTCAATAACAAGAAAATAACAATCAATGACAGCTTCAATTAAACGTTTATTCATGGCAAAGGAAAATCAAACTCTAAGTGAAATTATACAATTTGTGGTTCAAATTCATGGAGATTGGAGAATGTTGTTGTAAGATCGCAATTAAATGAAGCTGTATGGGCCCCAAACTTATCTCTTTGTCGTCTAAAGTTCATAGTGGGGAGCCCCATGACCAATATTACTTGTCGAATCTTAATGCTTTTCATGTGATTACCAAATACTAGTCAAAAGAAGAAATCTCTCCTGCATAATAATTACAAAGATAAGCCACTAATTGCTCATTAGTCCTCTCTTTTCAAGATGCTTCAACATCACCCTTTTATGGGCTTACATTGGGATGTACCAGTAAAGCCCAAATCTGTCAGAATATGGGCAATTCAGTAAAAAGTCAATGTGCCCATGATATTGAAATGCAGAAGCTTTTGCTTCAATAACAGGCAAATTAGCTGTTTGCCCTGAAATCAAACAATTAACTAGATATAGCATAATCTGATTGCTACAGTTTTGGCTACAGACAAGCAGGGCACCCATTATTTCATCAATAAGGGACCAATAACACAAGTCACACATCTACTATTTGGATTGGATGGTAGCTTATCATATGATATATTTGTGTATGTATTGAGTCTAATCAAACCTTCTATGGATTACCACTGTAAATATGTAAGATGTTGTCAAAATATCATGGTATATTTTTTAGTGCAGCCATTATTATCAATTAAGGATCGTTCTATATCTTCCCCATTTGGCTCCTGTTCCATATCTTTTGTTGGGATAACTTTAGATAGCATTTAAAGGAGCACATTGAATCTATCTGTGGTTAGGCTAGTTCTCTAAAGAGTGGTTCCTCTTCCCAATAAAGTTTGAAAAATTTCCCCCTCTTTCTCCTTTAGTTGATGACACACTTTTCTTCTCTTTTGCTTTAAGTATAGGTGTCTTTATCTCCCTCTACCAATAACCCAATCTCTCTCTCTCATTTAACTTTGAAAATCCAATCAAAAGCTTACTTTTTCTCTCAAAGAATAAAAGTTAGGACAAGACAACTTTAACACCATAAATCATTTATAGGATCTATGTTTTATATATGACATGTTTGGAAGTTGCATTCAAAAGCCATTAATCTCGTTGCTTCTATAGAAGTGTAGAATTTATGAGAATGGACCCATACCTTCTTTCATTGATGGTCCAACGAAATCAACTCTCAGACAACTCCCCTCGGAAGTTATGAGATGTATGAAATTCCCTAAATTCATAAATGCAAGCTTTGAAATGGAGAAATGCAGCTCATTATACATGAATTTTCTTATTATATATCTAGTTTTCCTATGTTCTCCATTTATGGGTTGCAGTTGGATGTCTTCTTGTATGGCACATGTAATGTAAAACACGCACTTGTGTGGAAGAGAAGCCAATTTCCAAGAATGGAGAAGCAAATCTGCTTCTGAATTCCAAGCTCTCCAACACTTGATATTCATTTCCAGTGAACCATTTCATGGGCAAGAGCAAGGTAAAAGAAAAAATTGAGGGTGAATGTCTTAGTAATCTTGGGCTCGTGGCGCCATTACACGTACAACAAATCAACGATTGCAGTTTATGAAACCCTCCTTTCTCTTAGGATTTCATCCACCACTTTCAAGTTTAGCCCCATAAGACCAGACCTAGTGCCCCATGTAAAATCGTTCATGTCCAAAGGATTTATACAAGAGGGACCATTCCTTGGCGCAATAGTAAAACCTCAGGCTGACAAGTGTGAGAATGCAGATTTGAGCTTCCAAGGCCTGGGATAGACAGATCTAACATTGGGTTTTGGCCCTTTTTTATTCAAACAAAATAAAGAACCAGGCACAACTTAAACCTTCCAACCAAAATACTCCTTGACTGTTTCATCAATTTATTTCTAATTTGGAATAAAGCTTGCAACAGTACTTGGCTAGGTCCCTTAACCTCTATTAGTATTATCCCTTGTAGTAGCTTGATGAGCTAGTTAACTCCCAATCCCAAAATCTGAATCCAGAAATCTTTAAACAGTCAGATGTTTTTCTTATAGAAATCTTATAGAAACCTCTTTAGAATCCTATGCCTTACAGATGAATGGAATGAATACAAGTAATATAACTAATCTTGCATTTGATTTCAGGGGAATAATTTAAAAGAAAAGGCTGTCAGAAAAATAAACCATTAATCCTAGGGTTGATAAGATCACCAAGTTCTGATCCTCCTTTTTTTAAGTGCATCTCTCAGCAATCAGGTAAACCATCAACCTAAAAAGAACAACTGTCGGAATTTCTAAAAAGACACCCTGTTTACCAGTCATCCATTAATCAAATAAACTGTCCTGCAGGTTCTAATACTTTCTGCTGGACAACTCTGCATTTCTCTGGACACTGAATGGGCCCCAAGCTTTCTCGGTTACAACCACTTCCATCAGTGGATATTGATTCCATATCGAAAGCAAAATGCTTCTCACTGGCGATTTTATTACAACAATTTTGAGTCATGACAACGATGTGAATATATTTTGAATAGGCACTCAAGGGAGGAAATAGAACCAGATATGTGGAGAATATAACACATGAACCTCTTTTTTTTTCCTTCCCTTTTCTGTTTCCTTTTTTTCTTTTGTGACTATTTCCATTCTGCAGATGATAAAACATGCCTTCCTTCAGAAGAAGCTGATGATGTATGCTAGACAACTTGTTGGCTATCAAGTAAATAAAAGCAATGAACATATGAAGAGCCTAGGTTGGTTATCTTGGAATGCACAGACATTCTTCAGTCCTCATCCAGTACAGTTACAAGTTAATCTCCTTCGGCAAACTTATTTCAAGAAGATATAAACTGCAAAAGTAAGAGAAATGTAAAAAACACAATACACAAGTGGAAAAAACAATCAGAAATATATGTACTCATCCAACTGAAGGCAATGCTACTATGCTAGTAGCAGTAGAAATGCATCTAAAATCTAGCTAGCAATAATCTAACTGTCGTTCTATCATCATCAATCCATTTGACCATAATTAGACAGTTGTAATGAATGGGCCAAGCACACCATGCAATCATTTGGTAGCCCTATGCATCATTCATAGGACAGGAAGAAGGCTGCAATCCTAGGAAAAGCATATTTGTAGTGTGCAGAAGGGACATTCATCATGCGCCATAGGCCATACTAAAGCATACTTCCATGAAATCCATATTGATAGCTGGAAGTGTCCAATTTTAGATGGTCTAGCAGGTTTCAATCTACTTGACAAAAGCAAGACAGGATTTTCTATGCCAACATGTTTGATGTTCCATACAAACTTAGATTGAGAAACCTATAGCTGAAACCTCCACTTTTGGTGGCTCATAACTAGATATCCAATATTGAATTTTTTTGTGCAGGAAAATCAACAGAAAATTCTGATAAAACAACAGTGAGCAAGAATTTTATGTTTTTAAGTTTAGTTATTTATTTCTTTCTATAAGAAATACCAAAACAGCTCTGTGATGCTTACCAGAAGAACTTCATAACAAGGTTTCTTTTTTTTTTAATTGTCTGGATAGAATTAACAGAAACTATGTTGTTAACTGTACAGTTTCGTCTTTATAACAATTAATTTTAGTATGAATGCAGTTCTAAATCAACCAAAATTTCAGTGAATAAAATTCTCCATATATATAAGGTCATTTTGATTTGTTTCACCCCCCCCCCCAAACAAAACAAAAAACATGTTAACTATCAAGTATGTTGGACATGACATTCAATTCACTGGCATTACCGCTTGAACTACAATGCTCCAACTGCTCTAGATATCCTTACAGACATGTAGAGATGTTAATCAGACTAGTGATATTTTAGCCATTTCAACTTATATTCTTCCTGTTAAACTGAAGAATGTAAAGTGGTTTCTCTTAATTATGAACTGGATTACCTTGCAGACATGAAAGCCATTCCAAAGAAAACAGACTTGACAGCTTGCTTCTGCCCCGCATAATCAAATGACAAGGGTAGCATTTCATGCAAGGTAAGAAAAGCCATTACTCCACCAACTGCATGGGAAATATACATATATAAGGTAAAAGACCAGAAACCAATAAATATAATTTTGGTTTATTGACTTGAAAATCACAAGACACAGATTGTATCACTTTAGCAAACCTGCTCCAAGCAATCCTTCAAGAATTTCAGGGCTTAGACTGATAGGGAATAGGTATGCTGCAAAGGGACAAAAATATTTGAATGTGAATAGTTTAATAATTTATTTTAGAACAATGCATAGCAAATTGGTCTTGTATCATGGAAGTAGGGGTGGACATGAATCAAGCTATTCACATGCCATTCGAGCTCAGCTCATGAAAAGCTTGGAGCTGAGCTCAAGCCCAATACACAGGCTCAATTGCTAATTGATTCAAGCTCAAATAATATGAAGCTCAGCTTGTGAAGCTCACAAGCCTCACTGAGCTTATATATAATTTTTTTTATTTTTATATGTATAATAAGAAATAATTTTTTATATGTATAATAAAAAATATCTTTTATACGTATAATTTTTATTGTTTTTTCTATGCAACTTGGCTCATTGTCAAGCTCAAGACAAGCCAAGGTCGAACATATAAGCTTTTGAGTTGAGCCAAATTCAAGCTAGTATTTCTAGCTAGAATCGAGCATGTGCCCAAACTTGAGTCTTATGCTTTTCTACTGAGCTGAGCTCAAATAGTCTAATATTCAGCTTGGCTGAGCTCAGCTCATATCCACCCCTATTTAGGAGAGGTAGACTGGATACAGACCCAACCTTGGGCATTTTTTGCATAAAGTGGCCATTCACAAACTCAAAGCTGCATTCTCACACTTTGCTATCCGAAGATTTTACCATTACACCACATATCTGTAATACAAAGTCATTTCAAGTGGGTTACCTAACTTTCAGAACAACCAGGTCCCACAGACAATATACCAGACAGTTCAAAATGGAAATGTAAGGCTTATATTGAAAAAAAAAATGGAAAAAAAATGTCTTGTTGGCATTTTTTTTGTTTCAACACACACAAGGAACTAAATCCATCTTGACACAAATAAAATTCTAAATATACTGAGATATATAGAAGTTTTTTATGCTGCAAATGCTGCATTCTTTTCCTTCTGTTGTACGCATACATTAATTGAGGTGGAAAAAAATAAAAGAACCTGATAGTTTTATCTTTCTGCTTTCTCGATTATTTGAATAGATGTTGTATTTTATTGATAAAGAAAAAGAAATAAAGGTAAAGATGTTGCCAACCAGTCATTGTTTTGCAACTATAGAAAAAGTGTATTTCCAAGATGTAGAACAATGCATGGGAGTTGGGACCATTATCTTCTGGATCTGAGCTAGGATGAAAAAAGATCTGATCTAGCACATTCTATTGGATAGCCAAAAACATGCAATCAATTCAAATTGCAGAAAAGAAGAATTCAATCATTCAGGCGGGACATCTACTCTAGAATATTAAATATCAAACAAACTTGTTTATTTCCTGAAAAACCATTTTATTGTATAGGCTCCATTTAAAAGAGGAAAAAGTACTCATTTCTTCAAAGGAGTAACCAATGGTCTACAAATAGCAACAGAAGGCATGCTGTGTGTTTATGCATGTAAAAGCGTCTATAGTTGACCTCACCCATAGCTACCCTGTTGGGGAATGGTGTTGAATGTGGCCACCCCAAACCATCTATCAGATAAGAGACCTACCAAGTATTCATTCACCATGTCCATGTCACCCCTATACCACATCTTTTTATTGGAGCTCCATCCAGGTCATCATAGTGAAAACCCCCAGATTTTAGTTCAGAAACTGTTCAACAAAAAGTGTTTATTTTGGACTCATAGCAAAGGCCTTTTCAAATTTCAACTGAAATGTACCACATGAACAAATGGCTTTGCAAAAGGTTAATAAGGTATCACTTGCCTTGAGTGCAAGTAGAAGCATATTTTTTTAGTCAAAAATTGAGAAAGAAGGTTCATCACTACACAAAAGCACATATATGTATCAACGACAAGTTAGCATACCTACAATAACCACCCCCATGGGTTCAGCAAATCCAGATAGGGTTGCCAGTTTGAATGCCTGCCATTTGCTGTAGTACGAAGACAAAGTAACCATTTAATGATATTTGAGAACCATTTCAAAGATACAAAAAAAAAAATGCATATAAAATCTGGGAGCTTCTAGATGGTATTAGACTATGCTCTTTCTTAACACAAATGAATTTATTATTTTTTAAAGTAATTCTATTATCTTAGAGGATATTCTAAGATCCAAAATGGACCACTTTCAACTATTAATTTAGTGGATTGTTAGTACCTCCCTGTTACTGATTTTGTTCTTTGAACTTAACCACACTTCCAGGGAAGAAAATATGTTGGCTGATGAGCTGCTAAACTTAAGAGCTTAGATTTTTCTATGTTTGATCCTTGTACTTTCTTTATGGTAAGCCTTTTATATCCACCTCTGATGAGAAAACAACAATGTTGCAAGAAGCCATTTGTTCTTTCTCTTTTCTCACATGACGAGTAGGACATTTTTAAAATTTTTGTTTTGATGCTTTAAATTGTTAAATGAAACAGATCAGTTTTCTAAATCTGAACAAATATATCCTCTTTCCCAACTGTTAGAGTCTACAATACAAGGGTATTTTGGTCCTTTGTCTATCTAATTGAGAGTGAATAGTTTGTTTTGTCTGAGTTTAAGTTATGTGTCCCATACGTAATGAGGGACAATACTGACTTTTGTAATTCAGTTTATACAATATAAATACAAAGTGGGTCGTCTGGGAGAGTAGGCTTTTTCTCTCCTAGACCAAACCCTTCTCTTTCTCTCTTTCTTTATTTATACACTATAAATACAAAGTGGGTCGCCTGTCAGAGTGTGCAACCACTGTTTCGTTTATTTCCTCCAAATTTATACTTCTCTTATGGCTCTTTCTAGTGAATGAGTGATGACACTGATGAGAACAAATTTGGGTTGGTCATAAACACAGATTGTGTCTGTTGATAGAGGGGGTGGTGCAATGAGAGGTGCTGGTCATGGTGGTGGGAGAGATGGAGGAAGTAGTTATGCTGGACATGGGCAGGTACATGAATGCAACTGTTGTGGCCGTAAGGACATTCTGTTAATTTCAGTTATGATTTGTATGGCCCACCATTCACTTGGGCTAGTCATGCTGCAGTTGAAAATCAATCTGATAATGTTACATCAATTGGTAGAACACCTACTTTAGGTGGTGGGAAGGAAAAGGAATCAGTAACTATCATACACGAGGAGTATGTGAAGTTTCACCTTTCTTTTCTTCTACCCTTTGCTAAATCAGGTATAGCTGGCCTAGTTTCCTGTTCCAAACCTACACCTTAAGTAATAGATTCTGAAGCATCAGACCATATAACTGGATCCCCATATTTATTTGTCCTTGTTTCCTCCTCAAACGTCACAGAATGTCACCTTAGTTGATGGTACTACTTCCTTCCAAGGCTCAAAATTTCGATAAGTTACGCCCCGTATCAGGTGTATCGTATCATATCTTTTGGGTTCCGATACGCCTATTTACAGGTGTTTTGGGACCTCACTCTTTTTTAATGAAAAATACTCTTTTTTAGCTCCCCAAAAACGAAATTTTGAAAAAAAAATACTATTTCCGTGTGTATCTAAGTACCGATACGCCTCTACTGATACACAGAGGCGTATCGATACTTTGATCCTTGCTTCCATCACTAGTACTGGTAACGCCTCTTGACTCTAACCTTCACTTTGTATGTGTTTGGTATAGCTTCCCGTTTATTAAATAAACGTTTGTACTTGATTTGTCTTCAAAACCAAGAAAAAGTACTTGATAAACCGTTTATTGACAACTAGGCGCCATTAGGCACCACATCAGCGGAACAGTGAATAAACACTTAACCGTTGGAGGAAGCGTTAAAATGAAACTTCCCCCAACGGTTGGTGTACACATAAATCAAGACCAACTTTTTTACCTATACATACGAATCGGCATGATGGGATAAATGCTGATTTGGCGATGACATGGCACCGTTTATCAAATAAACGGAAGCCTACCAAACACCGCCTTTTATATTCTATGTAATATGTACACAAATTCCCCTTTAGCCTTTTGTTTGAGTAAACTAAATCTCTTAATTGTTTAGTCATTTTTTATCCTTCTTATTGTGTCTTTCAGGATCTCAAGATGGGGAAGATAATTGGTGGACATGAAGATAGAGGATTGTACTATTTGGATGCTGGTGGTGGTTCACAAAAAGCTCTCCATTCTTCTCTCACACTTCAACAATGGCATTATTGTTTGGTTCATTCTTCTTTCGAAGTCTTCTAAGTAGAAGATCAAGACTGTAATCAGTCTTGAATCCTAATAGGTTTTAGGTTTACAAAAACAAAAGAAAAGTGAGAGAAAGGAGAAGGAATAGAAGAGAAACAGGAGAACACAAGGGTTGAAAGGAGGGACAGATTCTAACAGATCTGCTGCCGCCACTCTCTTATTATTTATAGGTTATGTTCAGTACATAATGRAAAKGAYAGATYTGCCYTTAGTACTTACATGATAAATAAAGTAAATAAAAACTGAAATAAATAACAACTGAATTAACAAACTGAC